AGTGGTGCAGGCAATGGGGTGAGTGCCAGCAATTGGGTGGCAGCAGGACGGCTCAGAGTGCTCTCAGCAGCCGCCCGGGAGCCTGCCTGGGCAACGAGACACTCACCGTCCTCCTTGGTCTGGATGTGCAGAACGCGCTGCGCACGCCGTCGCCCGCCTGCGTGAAGGCCAGCACCTGCACGCTGTAGTTGGTGAACTTCTCCAGGCCCCGCAGCTCCACGCGCTCCCGCGTGGTCGTGATGTTCTGCATCTCGCCCCACTCTGCCGAGCGAGAAAGGGCCTCTGCATGCGGCTCAGCCGGCCGCCAGGGCCCCGCTGCCACCCTCCGCCAGCTTCACGGGGCTCCGGCTTCCACTGCAGGGGGTGGCCTCTGGGGGGGGCCCTCTACCTCAAGGCCCACAGGGCCAGGTCTGAGGCACTTTCCAGGCCCCACCAGGGGGAAGGGCAGATGCTGGCCTGGTCTCAGCCCAGCCGACCTTGCACCGAATCCAACTCAGTGCTCTCCCTTTACAGCACTCCCATCTCCCCGTCTTGCAAGTGACGTTTCCCGTTTCCCGGGCTGTCCAATCCTCTCCTCTCTGGGTGAAGGACCGACCGGGGCGGCTCGGGGCTGGAGGGCAGCCTAGGCCAGGCGGGCAGTCCGCAGCCGTTCCTCCCTGCTGCCCGTGCCTGCCTGCGGGGCTCTCAGATGTCCCCAGGCAGTGTGGCCACTTGGGGTGACTGGTGACAGGCTGCAGCTGGATGGACTGCTCCTGGGCCAGCCCCCTGACTCTCAACAGTGAGCCAGGCCGGGCCTTCCTCCCCTGCTCAGCAGGGAACCCTGGGACCTCTGAAGAGAGCTCAGGGCCAGGGTCCCCGGGGAGGGCCAGGGTCTCAGAAGGAGGGAAAGAGCCAGGCTCCGGAGCTGACAGCCCCACTGGGTCCCCTGGGCTTGTAGAAAGACAGGCCCAGACACTGGCCGAGGACAGGCTGTGTCGAAACCTGCAAACCATCCCCAGCCGCTGCCAGGGTCCAGAGGGCGAGGATGCCCAGCCCGAAAGGACTCAGGTCCGTTCAGGGGAACCTGGGAGGCCTGGGCAGCTGGACCCTCCTTTCTCCGGCGGTCAGACTCCAGGGCAGGCCTTCCAGGATGGAGCCAGAGGAAGACCAGGAAGCGGGCAGTGCAGCCCTCGCCCCAGGTGGCCTTGGGGATTAGAGAGTCCGTGGCCCCTCACCTGAGGGCTGAGCTGGGGAAGCCTGCAGGCTCGGACTAGAGAAGCAGGTTCTGGAAAGTGAGGGACGGCCCGCTCCCTGACTCGGCACAGGCACAGCCGTGAGGCTGCCTCAGCGTAAGAAGTGGGGACACCTTGGGAGCGAACCCTGAGCTCCAGGCCTCTGAGTTTGGGAGGAGACAGCGGAGGGAGTGGGGGGTGGGGGGACAGACCTTCCTATTGGCAGCGTGTCTGTCTGTTGGAGCAGAATCCAGGTGGGGAAGGGGAGGGAGCTACCCGGAGACTGGCCGTGAGGGAGGCCCAGGGCCTCCGGGAAGGAATGAGGCACCAGGGCCGGTGGCAGAAGGGTCAGCATTTGGGGAGCAAACTCACTGCAGCCCTCTGTGAGCCCGCAGAGCGTCCCCAGAGTCAGGGACGCTGGTGCTCTGGGGCACGATGCAGACTTCCTGCTCACCGCCAGTCTGTGCCCCCCTTGTGTTTGTGGGGCCACACAAGCCCGTGTGGACCCAGTGCGTCCAGGGGCAGGAAGGCACCCCAAGGCTGGGACACTGTCTTGGTTGTCCTGCCCCGGCTCACATGGGCTCTTGGCTAACCTTGTCCAGGTGCCGCCCAGCTCCTGGGCACACGCATGCTCACTGCCTGGGCAAGGGGCTCCTGTAGGTGCTCAGACCCGCCTCCTCCTCTTGCCCCTTCAGCCTTGGATGGGGAGGGCTTCCAGCTGGTGCTACTCTTGGGTACCCCCCCTTTCCTGCACCCCCTCGTAAAACACAACTCCGGAAAGCAGTGCCTTTCATTAAAACTCTCTTCAATTGCCCCATCTAAAGTGAAGCCCAACTGTCCCCCCTGCTGGGACCCTGACAAATGACCAGAGGCCTCATACCCAACACATGAAAATAAAAAAACAAATATGCCCCCATCACCCCTCCGGTCATTCCCAAGCTGCTGGTGTCTCCTCCCCACAACCTGCCTTTCCCCCCCTTCCGCCCCCCCCTCCCGCTGCCAAAGGTGACCCTGGTGCCTGGCTGTGGCCCCGGATCATCGTGGGGAAGAGGGGGCTGCACTCCCCTTTGGCATCGGGGGAAGATGCTCAGCTCTCACTGGGCATGAGCGCAGAGCCCACCCCGCCCCTCTCACCCCGAGACCGGCCAGCGCTCCCGCAGACTCACCCCCGTCCATGTACAGTGACCAGAAGATGACCCGATAGCCTTTGAGGACGCCATTGAGAGTGCTTCGTGGGGGCTCCGACCAGGAGATGACGGCCACGTCAGAAGTGATGGACAAGGCCCGGACATTCTCGGGGGGCTGGCTGGGCACTGCACGGGCGAGGGGAGAACCGGAGGGCTGGTCAGGGAGGCAGAGCACTGGCCCGGGGCGGCTGCCCAGCCCGAGGAGCTTCGGGTGAGGGAGGGAGGGACCTCTTGACTCACGGAACCAAGTTTGGGCCAGGAAGTGAGCCACGCCTCCTTCCCTGGAGACTTGGGTAAATAGAGGTCTTTATGCACCCGGATCCTTGCTCTTTGGGGGCCATGTCCCTGGTTCTGGGTAAATGCCAGGGAAAGAAGGCGAGGAACTCTGGCATGAGCCCCCGGACTCAGCAGTGGGCACCGCAGCCCAGGGAGTCCACCTCTGCTGACGGGCAGCCGAGGCTCCGCGCTGGCCCTGGAGGGTCTGCAATTGATGCCTTGCCTCATGGCTGCCAGCTCGTCAGTGTCACCTGGCCAGGGCCTGAGCGAAGGCCTGGCCTAGAGACCTGTGTCCTCCTGCTAAGCTGAAGGAAGGAGGATTCAACTAGTCCTGGTGAGAGGGAAACGAGTTTCTATAGATGCCGCTGGGACCCCCGGACCATTGCGCCTCTGTCCCTGGCCCTGCACACGAACACACCCACGCGCCTTGGATGACGAGGGAAAAACTCTCTCTGAGGCCAACGCAGGTGGGGCCTCTGCAGGGCCTTCGACCCTCTCCCGTGAGAGCTGCCTGCGAGCGAACCTGAGATCCACTCCTGCGTTGCCCTGTGCCGCTCGCCCTCTGGGATGACAGAGCGTGGGGCCCCAGGCCCAGGCGCCACCTTGGCGACGAGACCGTGGTGGCACTCCCTGCTGGCCTCCCAGAGCCCGGAGGGCAAAGGGAGGGCCACGCCGCTTGGCTGTCCGTGGGAGGGAGGAGGCGCAGGCTGATGGAAGGTAATTAGATCCCGTTGCCCCACAAGAGGCAACTCTAATTTTTATGAGCATTTAAATGATAATACATCATCCTAACGACCCTCTTTGAGAATGATTATTGTTTCATATTACTTAGGTGTAAAAATATAAGCACCATGTAATTAGGGACCCAGTGTAATAAAACTAATACAGATCGCCCGTTTGAACAAAATGAAGGGTAATATAATTATGGGAAAGACACTATTGCTGGAGCAGGGGGCCCCTTGAATACCCCAGGAGGAGCGCTAATAGTGCCAGAACGATCGGGATCTGACAGGCTAACGAGGGCCTTAATTAAGTATGAAAAACTGCTGAGCAAATGCTGCCGGAACTTTCTTCCCTCTCCTCCTTTGTTTGGAAAACGACTCCACAGCCCAGTCTGATCTCTCCCTGTTGGGAAGCCCAGGCCCCCGACTCCCCAAAGCAAGGGAGGCGGTGCCCCGTGAAGCCGCAGGTGCGCCTGGCCTGGCTGATTCCTGCATGGGCCTGGGTGGACGGGAGCTTAGTGTCTGGTCGGCAGGCTGGTGTGGGCTCCGACACGCATCCTGCCTCCACATCAGTTGGTCCTGCATCCGGCTTTGCTCCGGAGCAAGAGGGTGACCAGCGGGTGCGGAGGAAAGAGTTCAGGGAGAGAGATGGGGGAGGGCCCGACGAGGGAGGAAGAGAAGGTGAAGGAGGAGCATGGAGGGACAGTGTGCAGGAAGGAGCTCAGACAGGCCACAGGACTAGCGGGCCGAGCTGATATCACAAGGGATGCAGAGCGCGCCAATGGACTGAGAAGCCTGGGTGCTCAGCAGACCAATCAGCTCTCAAGGAGCCGATGGGCACGGGGAGATGGAGGATCCGGGGAGCCTGTGTGGACCACAAGACCATGATGGGGCCAGCAGTGGGGGGAGGGCCCGCGCCCTGTCCGGTAGCCCTGGCTCTGCCTGTGGCCGGGACCTGCACCCTCTAGGTCCGCCGGTGCCCTCACCGTCCTCCAGGGTGGTGGCGTTGATCTCGCTGGACGAGGGCCCCGTGCCGGCCCTGTTGAAGGCCTGGACCACCACCCCGTACTGCGCGAACTTCTTGAGGTTGTCCAGGGTGTAGACCTCGCTGTCCCCGGTGGCCTTCATCTCCACGATGCTGTACTGCCCGTTGCTGCCAGGGCTGTTCTCCCTGTAGCCGATCTGGTAGCCCCGGATCACGCCATTCTGTAGCTCCTTCTTGGGCGCCTGTGAGCACAGGGTGGGGAGACAGAGACACAGTGACACTCTGAGACGACACTCTTAAAGCCAAAGCCAGACCATGTCACTCCTCTGCTCCCAACCCTTCCACGGACCCATGTCACTCAGAGTGAAAGCCGAAGTCCTTGCAAGGGCTACACAACCCCATGTGCTCTGACCCCATTACCTCTTGGACCCGCCTCCTCTCCCCCGTGCCTGCCTCACGCCAGCACTGGCACCACCTGACCTTTTATACAGTGTGCTGATGGCTTGGCTCTGTGTCCACATTAGAATGCAAGCGCCAGGGGGATGGGGATGTCGTCTGTTTTGTCTCCTGCTGTTCTCAGCATCTAGCATGGTGCCTGGCCTGCACTAGGCCCTCCACACACATTTGTTGAATGAATGAATGATGGATGAATGGTGAATGAGTGAATGAATGAATGAATGATGGATGAATGGTGAATGAGTGAATGAATGAATGAATGAATAAGGACATCGTTTGGCATGAGCTCAGGGGCCTGGGAGAAAGGGAACAGCAGACAAAAAGGAACCGGATGGAGAAGGAGGTGAGCAATGAGTCTGAATAAAACAGAGTCTGAAGATTCCACTGCACACCCAGCAGCTGGCTGTTCTAAAACACTGGCAAGTAACAATTGTTAGTGAGGACGTAGAGGAGTGAGAGCCCCTGTGCACTGTGATGGGAATGTGAAACGGTGCAGCCTCCATGGGAAACAGCTTGGTGTTTCCTCAAACAGTTAAACTTAGAATTGCCATCAATCCGGCAATTCCATGTCGGGTAGGTACCCAAAGGATTGAACGCCAGGACTCAAACAGATGTCTGTGCACCCATGCTCATAGCAACAGCATTCTCAACAGCCAAACGCTGGAAGCAGCCCGCGCGTCCACCGACGGGGAACGGGTAAGTAATGGTGTATCCACACAATGGAATATTAGCCTGGAAGGGAAGGGCTTCTGATACAGGCTGCAACATGGGTGGATCTTGAAAATATTATGCTTGGTGAGCTGAGCCAAACACAAAGGACAAATCTTGTGTGAAAGTAGTTCTACGAGGTCCTGAGACTAGACAGTTCACAGACAGGAAGTGGAATAGAGGCTGTGAGGAGCGGGGGTGGGTGGGCAGGGAGGTACTGTTATGGGCACGGAGTCTTGCTTGGAAGATGGAAAATTCTGCACATGAACAGTGGTGTTGGCTGCACAGCACTGTGAACATACTTAGTGCTGCTGAGCTACACACACAAACATGGTTAACAGGGGAAGTTGTATGTATATAAAATGGTTTACATATTATACAAGCGAAAGAAGTCCTGACTTTCACGTGAGTCCAGCCCCTCTTGGAGCAGCAGTTTCCCTGGACCTCCTGGCCAAGGGCCAGCTACAGATGGAGGGACAGGGATAGGCTAGGCCATGCGGGGGGAGGAGGGTCTTAGAGTGCTGGCTGGTGGGCAGGAGCAAAGGCCTGATCCCAGCAAAATGGAGAAAACTCCACTGGCATCAGTCTGGGGAGTGGAAAACGTATTCTCACCCCAAGCTTGAACCCTGACACACACACACACACACACACACACACACACACACACACACACACACGGTCCCAGTATATCTCCTCACACCCAGAACCATGAACACACACATCCAGACCCTGCTATACACCTGTCGCCGGCCAGATGCATTTAGACCCACAGAGAATCTGATGGAAAGGAGAGGACCCGCCCTCTACCAGCTGAGGGGCAGTTACAGAATTTACCAGGCGACCGGAGAACACAGAGGAATGAGTACTTGGACAGACAGGAAAAACCCATTTATTCTCAGATGTTTCGCATGTACCAGTACGGTGACTCAGGGGAGACTGTTTCTCTCCAAATCCTGAGCCCCCCAATATGGAGGAAGCTCTCCCTTTATACCCTTTGGTTTCTTTGTCCCCCAAATATGGATGAGACTTCCGGACCTTTCACAGGCTTTGCAAAAAGCCCCATGTGTTGGGATGGGAGCTGTGAGACCACACCTAAAGGCCTGGCCTGGTGCCAGCGCTGATAACCCCCTCGGGGGCGTGTGTTGTTCATGGTTTCGGGCCTCTGTAAATGGGAGGAGGACTTAGGTAAACGGTCTTGCAAGACCAGATTGTGGAGAAAGGGGCAGTGACTTAATTACAGGCTATTGAGAATGTGCACTAGTTTACTGCACAGGTTCAGATTGCCAGCCCCAGGAATGTCTTCTTTCCCCTCAGCAGCACCCTCCCTGGTGCGTATAGAAACAGCTTGAATCAGAGTTTTGAAGACAATGAGGTCACGTTAGAAGCCCAGCTTTCTATTGTGCGAAAAGCAGTGAGCTCAAAACAATGTAGTAAAACCAGTTAGTGAAACAGCCTCATGGTTTTCTTAATTCAATGAATGTTTTAAATGAACTGCATTTTAAAGCTCACTGTTAACTCAACAAAACGAAGTTTTAAATTTAATATAATTGTTTTGAACTCATGAAATAGGTGTGTTCACAATACACACCTGTACACAGCACCATGCAACCTTCACTCACACCAGTGTAGACTGGTAGAGGCCCCGGCTAGGCATCCAGGCGTACTCTGCTACATACCTCCGCCTCCCTCCTCTCTTTCCTTCTCTCTCTTTCTCCTCCCACTCACCCCATCCCCCAAACAGGCACACTCAGGGTTTAAATCAATCTTAACAATATTTCTCTGAAGCATTAAGAAGTCAATAGGGCTGATTGCAAATTTATATCATAAAGCAGTGGTGATCCATCTCATGGAAAGAGTCTTAAAATGAAGTGACTTATCTTTCAAGTGAATCTTTATTTTTCAGTAATCTGTTTCTTGGTGTTAAAAAAATCCCCTGAAAAGTCAGCCCAAAATTTATTGATGGGCTGGCTCATTCTGAAGTTCTAACTTTCTAATCGATTTTATTTTTCATTATGGGACTTTGGAGAAGTAAATCTGATTCTAAATTTTTATCGACCTCCAGGTCAGAGCGATGTAGCCAAACGTCCCGTGTCCGTGTTTTACATACTTGCCCATTCCTGCCCCACCTCCCGGCTTCCTCAGGGCGCTCCCAGAAGGTGGGTCCAGAGCCAGGAGGCAGAGGAGACCTGGGGATTAGACTCCGGCCCCCAGTTTCCGAGGAAAGCCCTGGAGCCCGATCTGCATCTGGAGGGGAACCATGGCTCCAGCCACCACATGGTGGGCTGGTCTCCAGGAACCCCCACTTTTGTCTTGGTCATTTCTTTTGGGAGGGAAGGGACCAGGCTCTGTTGCAGTGTCTATGTGTGTGTCTGTGTGTGTGTGTGTCTCTGTGTGTGTGCCTGTACACCCGCACGCACACACACAGTCTTTTTAGGGAAAACATTACTAGGCTCTTCTGAATCTCTTCCATGTGCCAGCTATTCTCATGCTGTTCACAGCGGAGGGCACTGAGGCCTGGCAGGACCAAGCCCCTTGTCCCAGGCCTCGTTGTGAGAAGACAGGGGGTGGCGTCAACCTACCGCCCAGCTCTGGTCACAGGGCCGAGAGAGGGCGAGGCTCTGTCCTGCCATCGCCATCACCCACAGCCCTGCCCCCGAGCTTCGCACAAAATGAAACCCACTCCTGACTTTTTACAACACGTGGGCTTTGGAGGACAGTCCAGTGTGGTGGAAAGCCACCTTCCCTCCATGGCGCTGCCAAGTTCTTCATGCCATGCACAGGCCTCCACCGGAGAGCCAGGGCGGAGAGGGAAGTGGGGATTGGTGGGGACTTGCTCCTGTAGCCTCTCTGCTCTTCCTTCCAGTCTCCCTGGGTTTACCAGTAAACAGGCATGGGTAAGCCCTGGCCGGTGTGCTCAGTGAACAGAGCGTCGGCCTGTGGACTGAAGGGTCCCAGGTTGGATTCTGGTACCTCAGTTGCAGGTTTGCGGCCCTGTTCAGGGTGCATGCAGAAGGCAACCAATCAATGTATCTTCTCTCACATCGATGTTTCTCTCTCTCTGTCTCTCCCTCTCCTTTCCACTCTCTTTTAAAAAAATCAATGGAAAAATATCCTTGGGTGAGGATTAACAAAACAAACAAAACAATCAGACAGCCAGTATGGGCATGGTCAGAGGCCACCACCAGCCCGCCTGCTGGCCTTCTCTCCCGGACTGCGGGGAGGAGGCCAGGAGGCGTTCCAGGGAGATACCTCCAACCCCACTTACCTTCCAGGTCACTTGGATGCTCTGTGAGGTCACTGGCTGCAAGGTGACGTCCACGGGGGGTCCATCAGGGGCTGGAGGGAGGAAGAAGAGCGATGTTACGAGTCAAGTCCCCGAGGAAGAGTCCTGTGCTCCCATTCCTGTCCCCTGAGCTGGAGGACTGCTGGGCAGGAGGGACACGCTCACTGACAAGAGCAGACGGCCTGCCTGTGAGCCCCCTGAAACCATCTGGGCTTATGTTTCCTCCTATTCTCTGTACTTTTTCATGTTTGATAGTACAAAGTGTGGGCAAGGGTGTGTCGTGGCAAGAACTCATACTCGTATGCACGTCTGATGACTCTCTAATCCGACAGCTGCTCGTCGAGAGAAATGCACGAACCGTGTACAAGCACCCAAGTGCTCACATTCCAACTGTAAACCGCAGATGCCCAGCTGCAGGGCAATGGACAGACGGACTGGATACGGCCCTCAGGTGGGATACCGCAGAGCACTGAGAAGGCCCGCATGCTACGGCTGTACTAAAAACAGGACGCTCTACACACATTTACCAAAACAAGGAAGCAGAAAGAATATATAGACTACGACTTCATGAACACATGCTATTGGAAAATAGGCAAAACTGAACTATATAGTGTATGTGTACAGACATTGTGGTGACAATAGAGGGAAGAAAAGCAAGGAAGTTAAGACACTGGTTACCTCAGCAGGAGGGATGGAGTTATGGCTGGGAAGGGGCATGGAGAGAACCTCTGGCGTGCTGGTAATGATATTGGCTATCTTAGTTCTTACGTTACTGTTATTTGTAAAACGGCACACATCTATATCTATGTCTAATCTATATCTATATCTATATCTATCTATATATTTTTCTCTCTATCTCTATCATCTCCATCTCTTTTGGTCTCTCTCTATATCATCTCTATCTCTATCATCTCTATCTCTATCTGTCTGTATCTCTCTCTCATCTCTATCTCTATCTCTATCTCTATCTCTATCTCTATCTCTATCTCTATCATCTCTATCTCTATCTCTATCTCTATCTCTATCTCTATCTCTATCTCTATGAGAGAATATATAGCAACAGAGATCTTGTTTAAAATTTCAGGAAAACCCCATGACAAAGGTCACGGAAAATAATTCAGGGCACTAGTACCCCACCCTTTGCAGATCTAGCACATCTGTCCTTCCCATACAGGCTGGGGCTGGGGAACAGGGCAGAACCATGGACAGCTCCCAGAAGCCAGCGTGGAGCACCCCACCTGGAACAGGCCAAGCAGATGAACGGGGCGGACGTAAACAAATACCTTGGGATCTCCCTCCCCTCTTCCCTCTTGTAACGGCAAGTCTGCTGCCCGTGGACAGGGTAGGTGAGGGCCCCGGGAGTCCCTGACCCCAAGGCCAGGGCACCGGGCAGGGTGAGGGGCTCACCGGCCTCCTCGGTGCTGACGGTGAGCCCTTTGCTGGGATGGGGGGGGGCGATCGTGCAGAAGGAGCATAGGCGGAATTTTTTTTTTCGACTCTTGGAGAGCATATCGAATGTTGGGACACAAAACTAGTAATATGTTGTTGTTTTTTTAGTTATGCCCACCCTTTATGAATGTGATTGTGTT